GAGAAGAGAAGAGAAGAGAAGAGAAGAGAAGAGAAGAGAAGAGAAGAGAAGAGAAGAGAAAAGAAGAGAAGAGAAGAGAGGAGAGGAGAGGAGAGGAGAGGAGAGGAGAGGAGAGGAGAGAGAAGGGGAGAGGAGAGGAGAGGAGAGAGAAGGGGAGAGAAGAGGAGAGAAAAGAGGAGAGAGAAGAGGGGAGAGGAGAGAGAAGAGGGGAGAGAAGAGGAGAGAGAAGAGGAGAGAGAAGAGGGGAGAGAAGAGGAGAGAGGAGAGAGGTTGAGAAGAAGGGGAGAGGAGAGGAAACAGGGGAGAGAAGAGAGGAGAGAAGAGGGGACAGAAGAGGGGAGAGATGTGCCCAGCATGGGGTCTATGCCTGCTGTTCAGCTCAGAGCAGGAGCACCTGCACAAACCACCCCACATCCAACTCTCATTCCTGCCCCTCAGGTCTGGCCTGTCCCAGGCAAAACAAGCCCCATTCCCGTGGGGGAAGCTGCCTCTGGAAGGGCTGGGCTGCTCTCACCATGCAGCTTCCAGACTTCCAGCTGGGTGAGGTGCTGGGCTGGGTGCACACTGGGTGTTCTTAAAGACAACAGATCTCAACAGCTCTTGCTGCTCTGTTGGGGCAAGGACATTTCCAGCAAAATGTTGCTTTGCCCTGTTTTCCCTGGACTCAAGCAGCTTCTGTTAAGCCATCAGCACTGTCCTCCATCCCTTGCAGCCCCTTCCTATTCCTTCTCTGCTGCTTCTCTGGTTGTTTTGCAATCCCCCAGGCCAGGGACTGCAAACATGTTTGGGACACCCTTCCCCAAGCCCACGTCAATAGCTCCAGGTGATACATGCAAGTAAAAGCTTGTTGGCTGTTGACACAAAGGTGTCTTGTTGACACAAGAAAGGGGGGAAAAAAAAAACCCAACACCACCCAACCAAAAAAACAGCAGAGAAAAACTATTCAAAGGTTGGTTGAGCATTTTCTGGCTGTGACATTTTCCTCTCCCTGCCCCCTCTTAAAGAAAAAAATTAATAAAAGGAGAAAGAAAAAAGAGGGGGGTTAAAGGAAAGCAGATTGGGTGATGTCTCCACCAGAGCTGGCTCAGCACCACTGAAATGCTGCCATGTCACCAGTCCCTGCCAGGTGAAGCTCTGCCAGCCCCTATCAACACAAAGCTGAGGATCACTCCATTCTCCCAGAAGCCATGGATAACTCCAGAAGCAACCCGCAGGCAGAGAGGAAAGAAAAGGGTCTTATTTTTCAGGTTCTTAACCATTTGCACAGAGTATTTGATCAAAAAGCTTCCCTTGCCAACCGATTGGCAGCTTCTCTTTGGTGCCACTTCAGAATGTTTGTTCGGTGATAACAAGTCTTTGTTATTTGCAGCTTATCCAAAGCCACAGGTAGGAAGAGATAAACTGGGCAAATAAAGGGGTATCACACACTGCCAGCACTGCTGAGGTTATAAAAGATACATTTCCCCTGAAACAGTCATAAAAAATTAATGGGTTAACTGTGAACTGAGATATTGCTCAAATCAATGAAATTCACCCCAGCACAGAGGAATTAACACTCAGGCCACCTGTGAGTTTAAAAGAGGATTTCTTGATACACAGGCCAGGAATGGGCTGGCTGGGCAGGGAAAGGTGCTTTACAAGGTAAGGGAAGCAGCAGCCTCCAACTGTCTCCTGGATCCAGTCCAAAGGAATATGAACCACCAGTTGCTCGTGGTTGGTTTCAGAGCAGGACTCCGGCTTTGGGAGGCTGAACACAGCTGTGTCTGCAGGGAGAAGGGATCCTTCCTGCACCTGTCGTGGGATCTTCCCCCTGCAAATCTCACCCATCAGCCCAGGGTAACCCAGGCTGCCAGGGTGATGCTTTGGATGAAGCCACATCCATCCTTTCCCAGGCAGGCATGATCCTTTTCCCTGGGATCCCAGGGATGTTTGCAGGTCACTGATGCTCTGTACCCAACACCCAACAGTGGGCAGGTGAAACAACAGAGAGAGAAACCACTCTGGAAAACAGCTCCTGGGGGGTTTGTTGTTTGTTTGGGTTTTTTTCACCTGCTGCAAAAGGACTTTTGTCATCTCACAAGACATTTCCAGGTGGCCACAAGCTCTTCCCACTCTCCCTGGTCACAGTTTTGCACTTCCCTTGCTCA